TGTAGGGAAGTGCTGGAAGGAGTTGACAACCTGGTGGAGAGTGTAGGGAGGCTGTGGACCGCTGGGATGTGCGGGAAGGAGCCGACGCTCTGTGGGAGGCGCTGGAGGAGGGTAGTGACAAACGACTAGGTGCTGAAGGGGCAGGAGAGGTCGACGTCCAACAAGGAGATACATGGAGGAATCTGCAATCAATTATGAGTGCTAGGAGGGAGGCTGCGACCGACTAAGAGGTGGGGGCGGGAGCGTACGATTGACTGGAAGTGCAGGAAGGAGCCTACGACAGTCTCAAAGCAGTGGATGGAGTTCGCGACAATCTGAGGGCATTGGATGGAGTCTGCAACAATCTAGAGGCGCAGGAAGGGGTCTGCTACAAATTAGAAGCGTTTGATGGAACCAGTGGTAGCAGAGAAGCATAGGAACAATGGAGATAGTCACTTTCAGTCGAGTTACAATCAACACACCTTACCCTTGGATGGGAAGAACGCTGGTGGCTGAATTCTGAATTCAGGAATCAATCAGTCAATTCAGAATTCAGAAAATAAGAAAGAAATAGAAAAGGAAGGACGCAGAAGGTGCAAGAGTAGAAAAAGAGAGTAATAAAAAAAGGAAGGGTAATGGGAGGGAAATGAGAAAGGAAGGGGGGAGTGTGGAGGGCGGCAGGTCCCCCTTTTTGGGGATAAGTTGGTCCCGCAGGGGTAGATCTCAAGGTTCGGTTCAGCCGGCGCAGTTCACGAGCTCACTTCAGAGACATTTCTGTACTTATAATTTTTGTAATAAATAATCATAAGCAATACATATTATATGCATATATAACATTTTAAGAATACCTGCAAGCAAATGTTTCATAAAATGGTTATCACATAAATGTGATAAGAAAAACTTAATCATAGTCAGAGTCAGTAACAACTAACATTCACATATTTATGTGTAGGTATCATTTAACATGTAGAAATTCTAAATGCATTCACTTAGCAATGAAATATATCAAGTTATAAAGAAATGTATTATTCTTAATTTAGCCATGATTATTTCGTTGGAATCAACTGAGCAACTCTACGACAAATTTCCCTAAGCTCACCTCGAGCCGCGGCTTAGCATAAACAACATGAAATTAGTAAATTTCTTAGGATATTTAAGAAATCCTCGACTTATATGTTGATTTAACCCCAAACAGTTTTCTCACCTCAAAAGAGTTACACTACATAGCTATCTCATCTCTCCAACTCTCTCTTAATCCCTTTTTTCCCCTCCTAACCTTATTTATTTCCTCTTACTTTGCTGTTTTATTTGCAAACAACTCCATTGAGAGGCCAAAACCCAATTTGCACAACCGACACTAATTCACTTTCTAGTAACAGTGACCGGGAACAAAAAGGTGCTTTAATTCGTGCAAATGTCAAAAAAAGTTGTAGGCAAGGAAAGAAATGTTCAGAATATTGTGAAAGAAGGTTTTTACACACATAAATCTCCCCATCACTCGAATTTGCATTTTTTGACACTCTGCCCGCAGCCCAGATTGCGCCTGCGCTGCAGCAGGGTCATTGGAGCTCTCCATGCGCACGAAACCGAGAGAGATCGAGAGAGGGGATTGGCATTCGACGCCTTTGATGTATTATTTACCCTCCCTGTGATGACTCACAGCCATTTGATTGCATGAAAAGGCTGAGATCTGTGTAATAAAGTCAGTGGGTACTAAAATGGGATTAGGGAATTAATTAAGGTTAATTAAGTATAACTTCAAACTTCAATAACTTCACATGCTCTTTAATTCTTATATGATGTAATGTATTAATTTGATCGATCCAATGTTTAGAATTTTATAAAATTAACTCAGTTTAATTCCAAGAGATGCAAAATTTGGGATATATTTCATAATTGCCAAAATTTTCACCTGATTTTGACAAAACTGGGTATTAAACTAAATGACACTATATCAGTGACATCGTTGTCACACAACATTCAAATCCTCATATTACTAATTATAATGTAACTGAATAAAATTTCCAAAGTATTTATGTCATTTTCTTGTTGCATAGGGTACTGTTGAGGTGCTTATAATGAGACATTTTTACGAATTGCAAATAGATCAATTTCAAATAACTTAAATTTATTTGCTTTTCTGTTTTTATTAAATTTCTTTCCTGGTCAACATATTCTTGCTATTAATGGCCACTAATAATAGAAATATTGGGTGATGGGTTGCTTATGCTATCTCTAATTTTTTTAATTTAAATTCAAAAATGCCCCACATTCTACACAATTTTGTGCGACATGCACCCGCTCTGGCCACCCCTCTGCCTCCCTCCTTCCTAGAATCAGAATGATAGGAATTCTTTATTTGTGCAATCATTATGTTAGACTTAAAGTGTTCTTTGATTCTAGTATCTCTTTAGTTAACTTTGAATGTTTAATGCTTTCTTATTTATTTTTTAATTTTGTACATACCAAAGAATGATTTGTAATTATTTTAAAAACGAGCATTTTGTTGCACCTTTCTATTTAGTGTTTAGAAAGAAAATAAACAATTATTATTATTTTTTAAAATATTTTACATGGCTTGTGTAACTGTTATCTCATTTTAATCCTTTTTTCTTAACTGGCATGTCTTACCATCAAAGAATACATCATGGCTGGGTTCGTTAATTAGTACTATAATTGGAAATCTCAAGCTCTCCATCACCAATATTCATATTAGATATGAAGACCTTGAAAGGTTGACATCAATTTTTTGCGGTACTTATATATAAGCACTCGAATATTCAAATTTGTTTCTGGGTCCTTAAAAGTTTTACGGTAAATTTTCACAGCAATCCTGGCCACCCATTTGCTGCTGGCTTGACACTATCTAGGCTTTCAGCAGTGACAGTCGATGAGTCTGGGAAGGAAACTTTTGCTACTGGTGGGGCTCTGGAGCACATTCAGAAGGTATGCTGTCTCTGTTTTTACAGAACTTACAGAGTTCTCTGATTACTGTTTTGAATCACTTTGTTTGCATCATTCTTTCATGTCCTGAGTCCCGACATCTTTGCCAAAATTGGTTCCCTGTTCACTCTCCAAATGCTGAACAGCTTACTTTTTATGGTTCTCAGAACAATATGATATGGCCATTAACATCCAGAATTTACTGTTTTGCAGTCCGTGCAACTTGATCGGCTAGCTTTTTATTTTGACTCTGATATTTCTCCCTGGCATATTAAAAAATCGTGGGAAGATTTAGTTCCTTCAGAATGGAACCAGGTATTGTTTTTATGATACGTCAATTTCATTTTTTTGACTTACGGATAATCTTTTGGTCTGTATGTGTAGATATTTGAGTTAGGAGACAGCATTGACCAATCAGTTAATGCTCTTCCAAGGAAGCATGATTACATTTTACAACCAGTGACGGGAAATGCAAAGTACACAAAGTTGAGAATAGATGAATCCAAACATACAAGGCAAGCATTGCAGCAGGCTGTCATTAATCTTGACGATGTTACATTGTGCTTATCAAAGGTACATTTCAAATAATCCCGAGTACTTTGCCATTTATGCAAATTGATTCTTGATCATATCTTTGTAAAACATTGTAGGATGGATACAGAGACATGCTGAAGCTTGCTGATAACTTTGCAGCTTTTAACCAGCGGTTAAAGTATGCTCATTATCGTCCACAAGTTTCAGTGAAATCTGACCCTAAAGCATGGTGGAAATATGCATATAACGTGGTTACCGATGAAATGAAGAAGGCGAGGTAACCATCCTGATCTGTGTTTTCACTTAAACTGTGATACTTGAAGTTCCAGATGATGCAATTTAATCATGATTTTCTTATTTTGCTACATACACTGTTTTGTATTCTGCATTAAAATTGCACTCCAGACACTAAATTTTTTTTTCTTCATTCGTTATGATTCTCATTTTAATGTAATATTTACATGCAATTATATTGTTAATATGTAGTACTTTATTTACTAATTTTTTCTTGGTAGCATTTTATGCGATAAAGTGATTTTGGTTGTAGAACTTACGGAAATGGCAATTACCATTCAACTCTGTCATGATATTCTAAATGCATTTGGCTTTCAGTGGAAGTGAATCGGCTACATATTTTAAAAAACTTACCTTCCATGCTCATTAAGTATTTTTATTAGTGCATTTCGAAGGCATGCGCCTTCCTCATCAACTGCTTTTTGGTGAATGAGTGCTATTTGTTCACTATTACTGGTTATGCTTTTGAAACATATGAATTGCCTTAGATGGGTACGAAATGTTTTGCACTCAACTTTTATGAGAGAATCGGTTACCTTTCTCATTTTCTTGTTGGAACATGTCAAGTTTCAAACTTCAATTTAAGTCTTTTGCTATGCTTTGAAACAAAAATACTGCACCGTTGTTGTTGGTATCATATTTCTTCCACATCCCACATCTTTGATTTTGAAATGAGGTTTATAAAATAGGAGAGAATGAGAGACAAAATGAAGTGTATGTCTTTATGATAGTTATTTTTTGATATCATTATCATCATCATTGGCTTTATTATCCCAACTTCTTTGGGTTGGCTTTATGAATCCTCTTCCAATCATGTCTATTGGGTGCCTGAAGTTTTTACAGAATATTTTAGTTTTTTGCCTATGTGAACTTTTGTCAACGCCTTTTGATTCCTTACTTCTTTTCACTTTTTTTTCCTTTCTTGTTGATGCATTAATGCGAGAGCTTCTCCCATAATTCCGTAACAGACGAGATTCCAAAATATAGGGAATCGATCCCACAATTGCGGAAGCGATCTCACAATCGCGCAAGTGATCCCATGACTATGGGGTTACAGACAAGGACCAATTCCCGTACCAGAGAGGAAGTTCACAGGATTTTCACTATTCAGTGACACCAGAGTAAGAACACAGGATCTCGGAATATTGCAAACACGAGATTTATAGCTGAGTAGAAAATTGCCTATTTGAGCTGTTTGTTTTCATTGATTCATTTCTTGTTTCTTTTCATTTTTCTTTATCTTCTAATTTAGGTTATTTCTTGTTAAGGAATTTTTATTTATTGGGTTTTGATTGTTTGAAACTTCAGTTTTTCTTATTTTATGAATTTAGAGACGTTTCTCTGAATCTTGCTCTTAGGAGTGCTGTATCATCTTTGTTTTGCAAGTGGTGCATCTGTTTTTTGCTTTGGAATAGGTGCTGAACCTTCTTGCCGTTTCGCTGTTCAACTTGCTGATTTTACCCAGGCTTGTTGCCCATGACATCGAACCTGCTGTCCAACAGCAGATTTATTCCCGCAATCCCTTCCAAATACTGTTGACCACACATATTAGTCTTCCATGGCTTAGAACTTGTATTCTTCGGAGAGGTTATGGATGCATTTTTATCCAAAGTATGAGTCTTCTTCTGATGAGTTTGAGCTTCCCATATCTATCATCGTGAATAGATAAGCCATTCTAGTAATTGCTGATCTTCTCTTTGAATTCCTGATCATCTCTTTGAATTCCTCTCTATTTGTCCAAATTATTTTGAATCTAAAAATATTGCTTAGGTAAGAAAACCAAACCAAATAAGGAATGGTAGGCCTGATTAGAAAAAGCTCTGCTTGGTGCATTGAAGCCTCGATGGGGGAAAACAACCACTTGTGTTTAGTGAGCTAGAAAATGCCCATTTTAAAGGCAAAGTTGTGCTAACACCATTTAATTCATTCCAATTTTTTTTTTTAAATCATTCCAAAATAAATGCTTCCAAGGTTCATTAAAAGGCTTAGCTATAGTGATTGGTAAGGAAGATAGAGTGACGAGAGGGCACCTATGCCTGCGTGGGTGCGACAAGTGCCGCACGCTGACCAACTTAGTCCAGGTGGGAAAGGACTGTGCCGTCTTTCCTTGAGCATGGTTCTCTCCTATTTGTAGTGGGGCCTACTTCTCTTTACTCTAGGACTATTTATGTGTAATTTGTTGTGTTTTAGGGTAATTTTTTGCTTCTATTTTTTTGACATCGGCTGTTTTCTACCTTTAGAGGATTAAATCCGATGACAGGTTGTGCTCTGGCTGTATCATTTTCTAAAGTGGTGATTATCTCCTATTATTCCTCCCTCGCCTGCCCCTACGCTTGTTGCCGCACCCTCTAGCTGCCTGCCTATATGCTGCCGCCCCTTCCACACTCCTATTGCTTGCCGCTTGCTGCTGACCCCTTCCCAGCCCTCCTGCTTGCATGCTGCCGCCTCCAACCCACATGTTGCGTGCTGCCGCCGTTGCCAATTACCTTGCTGCTTTTTGCTAGGGGTGTAAGTGAGTCAAGCCGGCTTGTGGGCCGTCTTGAGCTTGGCTCGATGATTGGCTCGTGAATTGAGCTCGATGAGCTAACACACCAAGCTCAAGCCAGCCCTGACTTGACTCGTTAGCTCGTGAGCCAACTTGTTTAAAAAAAAATATTAATATAAAATATACTCAAGATATTTGAAATATCAATAGTTTATCTTGAAGGTATCATTTTTTTTAAAGCGATATTTTGTATTATATATTGCATGATTTTGTATTATTTATCTCCTAATTGTTCATTTTATTTTGTCATTTTATTATAAAACTAGCTTAAATTAATATAATTTTCTCTCTTTCGTAATAAACATGCCGACTCGTGAGATAGCTTGAATTCGCAGACTTAAGCTTGAGCTTGTGCTCGAACTCAATAAAATTTATCAAGCTCAAGCTCAAGCCGAGGGTGGCTCGAGCTCGACTCGACTCGTTTACACCCCTACTTGCTACCGCCGCTATCAACCCTCCCTTGCTTGCTATCCAACAACAGGGCAATCTTTCCTTCGCTGTTGCTAGATCACCTTATCGTCTATAGCTCTCCGTTTACACTATCTCGACCTGCAACCCACCACTTTCGAACCTCACCCTAGGGGTATTTGTGTTGGTGTCATCGTTTGCCTATTTTCAAGTGTCTTTATTTATAACAACCCTTACGAATTTCAACAATAATACTACTTATGAAGTGAGAAAAAGATTTAAATTTTCAAGGATTCTAGTTACAAATATTGTCAAACGATTTCCTATTAGAATTAAGTGTGTATCAGTCAGTTATAATGTTATCGCCAGTAGACATGATAACATTAGAGGTGGGGTTGGGCAGCTTACACATGAAGATAATTGGTTTCTGCATTTTCTAGTAACTCTGTAAGCCATTCTTCTTTTGATGACAGAGTCTAAACCTCTTACATTTCAAGAATCAATTATCTAAGGGTTTAAAACGCCCCTTAGTAAGGTCTTCTATGTATCTAATTTAGTGAAATTAAAATCTTATAAATGTCTCTTTGCAAGGTTTTCAATGTATTTATAAGAGAAAATAAGAGCTAAGAAATATAGGGTTTTCCATGTATATATTATTGCACTGCCTTTAGCAAGAGCCGAAAGTGCACTATCAAAAAATCAACAGCGGATGCATTATGATCCATGCCTATGAGGTCAGGAAATAGGCCATCGTTGAGAATTGTATATAGTTTAGGGTCCTATCTATAAATAGGAAATATAGAAGATGTCAAGGTTTTATTTTTATAAAAAGTTGTCAGGCTATGTATAAGCCAAAATCTTTCATAAATAGATTATATTTCTTTGAGCAAAAATATTTCAATTTGGTATCAGAGCATCCTAACATACTGCCTCGTGCTCGATTCGTGGAACTTCTTCGACGTTGTCCTCACTAGCAGCGGCCAGTAGGGTTCGCGACATCATCCTCGAATTCGCGAAGCATAAGCGAGGTATGAGCTGGGATTGTGAAGCAACCACGACGAGTACAATCGGATCAACGTCTTGGCAAAGAAGTTGCGATCTCTAACATCGATGTCATCTTGGCAAAACAGTGGCAATTAAAGCTAACAGAGGAGGCTTCGACTTCAAATACGGAGGCGGGAGCAGATTATGTCATCTTCGTAGGCAAGTCCCTTCACAGGCAGCAGTTAGTGCGGTCTTGATTGAGACTTGGGAGTGAGGAAGACAATAGAGCATGACCTTTATTTCTAGAGTTGCACTTGACGACAGGGAGGCGAAGGATCGAAGTGACTGCGGTTTTGCAAGCAGACAGAGGAGGTGTTGCTTCATGCGGGCTAAAGGCTTTATGGATCACACGAACTTGCAGGAAGGAAGTCGCTTGTGATCTTTGTGATCTAGACTTGATCCTTGTGATTTAAAATATCATGAGACGGATATAGTGCAGGAACTAAGGGATTGGAACTTCTGGGGAAGATGAATTTTGAAGTTCTAGAGGTCTTGGTCGGGCTGATACAGGGAGCTAGAGTCTCGATAGGAGCCACCAGGTGAACCTAGATCTCTCTCACGTGGATCTAAAACTTGATGGATCAACCACGTATCTGAGTTAGTCACATCAGATTGAGGTTGCTATAGTATGAAAGAGATTTGAAGGATACCTGACGAAGGTCTAGCCAAAGAGTGACAATGTTCAGAGGGTCTAGTAGAGGACCACACATGCCTTACCTTGCTTTACACCTGACTACTCAACTCGATGGCTTCATCGATTGCCTCATCAGTGGATGACATTCGAAAGATGAGCGACATTTGGGCGAAGCTGAAGAAATTCTATGCTGAAGCTGAGAACCACTTGAGGGTGTTCGTGATTCAACGTAAGATAGAGACAGTGGTTTTGGGTGATCTATTCAGGAGTACTCTACATACCTGTAGCGGTTGTGGCAAGATATTGATCACTTTTCACCTATGTCAAGGTGTGATAATATGGGGTGCAAGAA